TGAATAATCACTCGACCTTCCGGACATGGCACATTGAAACTTGGAGGTCAGGGATCACACATCCCCTTTCTCCCAAGGAGGGGTGGGGATGTATTCGGTTAGTCATCAACCTGGTGTGTGTCAAGAGTTATGTGCGGAAGATTCAATGTTTAACAACAGCGACGCAGATGGTCTAAATGCAACGGAAACAAATCATTGAAACGTTGCCAGAAAACGACTTAAGGGAAGTCCTGCTCGTCCATTGTGTTATAAATCCAGGGTGTCGAGGTGAGGCCTGTGTCTTGTATGTTTGTTGCATGTATTCATGTAGCAGGATGTTTGTTGTGTATTATTGTGAAATATTAAAAATTGAATTTTTGACAACTGTGACACATATATTCCTGAATATTGACGGAACTTCCGTTGAAACGTAGCCAGTAAACGACCAAAGGGACATTTCACCCTTGCTAAATCAGCCTTTTCGCTGAATATTTGAAGAAAAGACATTTGGAACTATTGCTTAGTACACCCGTACGCAACACAATATCTCATTTCGCGTCTTCAATACACCGGGAATAACGGAAAATCGCTTCATTGTCTTGTAGATTAATGCACTGTAAACGACGACTGATGGCTGGACACTATTATATTTGAACATAAATATCACTTAGATTGGCCTGATCAAGTTTCTATCAACAGATCGTCGCCATATAGCTGGACTATTGCAGGTTGTGGTTCAAAATGAAAACAAATTCAATCACTCACGTATTTCACATATTCAATGCAAGGTGGTGCTTCTACGCGGGTGGTGGGTAGAGGGGGAGAGGTAGGGTGGTTGTTGTTGTTGCGAGACTTGGTTGTGTAGCTGGGGGGAGGGTGGGGGGAGAGGTAGGGTTGTGGCGGTTGTTGCGAGACTTGGTCGTGTAGCCGGTGGGAGGGTGGGGGAGAGGTAGGGTGGTGGTGGTTGTTGTGAGATTTGGTTGTGTGGCTTGAGGGAGGGTAGGGGGATAAGGGGAGAGGTAGGGTGGTGGTGGTTGTTGCGTGACTTGGTTGTGTAGCCGGACGGAGGGTGGTGCGAGAAGGGGAGAGGTAGGGTGGTGGTGGTTGTTGCGAGACTTGGTTGTGTAGCCGGGGCGAGGTTTGGGGAGAAGGGGAGAGGTAGGGTGGTGGTGGTTGTTGCGAGACTTGGTTGTGTAGCTGGAGGGAGGGTTGGGGGTAGAGGGGGAGAGGTAGGGTGGTGGTGGTTGTTACATGACTTGGTTGTGTAGCCGGAGGGAGGGTGGGGGTAGAGGGGGAGAGGCAGAGTGGTGGTGGTTGTTGCGAGACTTGGTTATGTAGCTGGAGGGAGGGTTGGGGGTAGAGGGGAAGAGGTAGGGTGGTGGTGGTTGTTGCGCGACTTGGTTGTGTAGCCGGAGGGAGGGGGGGGGGGGGGGGTAGAGGGGGAGAGGTAGGGTGGTGGTGGTTGTTACAAGACTTGGTTGTGTAGCCGGAGGGAGGGTGGGGGGTAGAGGGTGAGAGGTAGGGTGGTGGTTGTTGTTGCGAGACTTGGTTGTGTAGCCGGAGGGAGGGGGGGGGGGGGGGGGGGGGGTAGAGGGTGAGAGGTAGGGTGGTGGTTGTTGTTGCGAGACTTGGTTGTGTAGCTGGAGGGTGGATGGTGGGTAGAGGGGGAGAGGTAGGGTGGTGGTGGTTGTTACAAGACTTGGTTGTGTAGCCGGAGGGAGGGTGGGGGGTAGAGGGGGAGAGGCAGGGTGGTGGTGGTTGTTGCGAGACTTGGTTATGTAGCTGGAGGGAGGGTTGGGGGTAGAGGGGAAGAGGTAGGGTGGTGGTGGTTGTTGCGCGACTTGGTTGTGTAGCCGGAGGGAGGGGGGGGGGGGGGGGGGGGGTAGAGGGTGAGAGGTAGGGTGGTGGTTGTTGTTGCGAGACTTGGTTGTGTAGCTGGAGGGTGGATGGTGGGTAGAGGGGGAGAGGTAGGGTGGTGGTGGTTGTTGCGAGACTTGGTTTGGTATCCGGAGGGAGGGTTGGGAGAGAGGTAGGGTGGTGGTGGTTGTTGCGAGACTTGGTTTTGTAGCTGGAGGGAGGGTGGTGGGTAGCGGGGGAGAGGTAGGATGGTGGTGGTTGTTGCGAGACTTGGTTGTGTAGCTGGAGGGAGGATGGTGGGTAGAGGGGGAGAGGTAGGGTGGTGGTGGTTGTTGCGAGACTTGGTTGTGTAGCCGGAGGGAGGGTTTGGGGAGAGGTAGGGTGGTGGTGGTTGTTGCGAGACTTGGTTGTGTAGCTGAAGGTTTGTTTCCGGTTACATCAGCTTGTATGTGGAAATGGACTAATCTGACTCTTAGTAAAACAACTGATGCATTCTATTTGGAAGGACATATGAGTGTTGACAGAAAAGTTTTGAGGTAAGGTGATGGGAAATAGGGTTAAATGTCGCGTTAAATAATTGCGTGTTTGTGTGTGTGGCTGTTCGTACAAGTCCTTATATTTTATAATGCTAACCCACCTATATACCATGCCACAGTTGAACATCAATACCCAACTCAGACACAGTATACTGACTCTGAGACGACCTGTCTTTGTTTTAGCCCCAAAGAGTAAGGCAGGGTAACAACAAGTACTATCTTATAATAACGTCTTTTGGTATGACGCGTCCGGGGATCGAACCCCGTCCCATCTGCTCTCCGGGCGGAAGCTCTACCAATAGACCACGGCAGCGATTAGAAACGTTTGGAGCCTCACAAGGAATTCAATAATCTTTTGCTGCGGACATCACATAACGACCAAGTTGCGTATCCTTGTCAATGAAGTGAATTGTTTGATGGTAATTTTATGGACGTTAAACGACTATTAAGTAGACACTTTAAAAGGTGAGGTGAAATAGGGTTTGCTTGCACGTCCAATATTATTGCACTTATATTGCGACGTGCTTGCACGTGTGTGTGTGGCTGCTTGTACTAGTCCGGACTGATGTCGCTTTATAGTGCTATCCCACTGAGATACCATGCCGCAGTTTAACATGAATACCCCACTCAGACACAATATACTCCTAGCCGACCAGTCCTTGTTTTAGACCCATAATGCCGAGCGCCAGACAGGGTAACAACAAGTATCATCTTTTAACGAAGTTTGATTTGACGCGGCTGGGAATCCCCGAACCGTCAGCTCTCTGGGCGAACGCTCTACCACTAGACCATGGAGGCGGTCCCAATTAAAAAAAATAATTGTTGTGAATAGTATACTCAACATCAAAAGTTCCTGTTACACCAATATATCAGTGTATTTTTCAAAACAAGTAAAGTTTGGTTTTCAATATTGTAGTACATGTATGGAATCAAGTCACAAAATCGCAACTGCTACAGAAAAGTATGCATTCCATGCAAAAGTTGACTTTTAAGCAAGCCCCATGCATTTCACTACCTAAGAATCGGTATGAAAACATGTGCGTGAACGGGATTCCATATGCATTGTTAAGCATCGTGCTGACAACCACTCAGAAAAACAACAAAATTACGCAATTATTCAACATTGCGAAATGCCACGCCTGTCCGAAAATGAGCGTCTTCGACCAATTGGAATTCTTGAAGCAGGATCAAGTCAACGCGATGTTGCAAAACACCTTAATCTTCACATCTGATCTGCACGGGTCTCAATAGTACGGATAATCTCTGTTATTTTTGTTGATATTTCAAACGTAGAACATTGGATAGCATACGTCGAGTGAGTGACCTACCCATAAATCTTCTGTTGGAGATCGTCTCACACGAAACTTTGAGTGTCAAGGACGAAGAACTATTGAAAGTTGTGCTGTCTCCTACACTAAAAAAAGAAGGCAGCAAAGACTTTGATATCCTATTCAACATCCAATACTCCGAGGCTCTTGCGGCGTCAACACACATGATCTTCGAAGGACAAGGTCAATCTAAAAATCTGACATTCAATAAAATAAAGTTCTTCAACTGCATCGAAGTTTGCTCAATCCCCATGTGTGATGTATTAAAGTAAATTTATGTTCAACCACTAGGTGTCATGTATTAAAATAAATGTTTGCTCAATCCCTATGTGTAATGCATTAAACTAAAGTTTACTCAATCCCCTTGTTTGATGTATAAAAGTAGAAGTTTGCTCAACTTCAATATGTAGTGTATGAAACTATAAGTTTACTCAACCCCCATGTGTGATGTATTAAAGTAGAGGTTTGCTCAACCCCCATGTGTGATGTATTAAAGTAGAAGTTTGCTCAACTTCAATATGTAGTGTATGAAACTATAAGTTTACTCAACCCCCATGTGTGATGTATTAAAGTAGAGGTTTGCTAAACCCCCATGTGTGATGTATTAAAGTAGAAGTTTGCTTAACCCCCGTATGTGATGTTTTAAAGTATAAGTTTGCTCAATCCCCATGTCTGATGTATTAATGTATAAGTTTCCTCAACCCCCATGTGTAGTGAAACTGAGTATAAGTTTGCCTAATATGTCGTGAAATTAAGGAAGCGCTTAATCTACCCCTATGTGTATATGAAATAAAGTAAATGATGTAATCATCCCATTTTTCCGCTTCGTTTCACGTTGATAGACTGTTATTGCCTCAGAAAGGCTTTCGAACTCGATTTCATTGTCTGCGGTTTTAATTCCATCTCTGAGTCTATTTCCATTTCTGACCCCATCGTTTACTTGAGTGACGTTAGCTGTGGTTGGTAGCTGTGATTAAGCCTTCTGGGGAGTTGACTGTGCCTGACCCTGACCCATCTGAATGGTGGACTGTGGCGATTCCTGACCGTTCTTATGTTTCGTTTTTTGTTTATCTTCTTTTCATAAGTTCTGCCCCAAATATTTCCATCAGTATGTGGATGGGGGATATGCTTTTATTATCAAGATATTGTCACACTTATATTATACTTGAGTATACTTCTTTACTTATTTTATTGGTATTGGTTAACAAGGAAGTTAAATGTCTCCTTCACAATAAATCTACTTGAATACACAGCAACCAGCTGTAGGTTTAAAAGCGCGGTTTGACAGTAATTTGCTTACCTTGAAGAAATAAGAACTTGGTGTCCTCAAAATCCACAGGTAAAGGTCAAGGAACCCTGTCTTTGTTTCACGTGAAACCTACTCGAGTAAACAAACCAAGGTGTGTTACTCCAGACGACAAACAAGATGGCTATATATCGTGACATCTCGTGACATCACGAGGTTTGACAAGTTGAACGTTTTCGATTGGATAGAAACTGTTGTACGTCGACGCCCTCACCATACTCATGTGAATCAAGGAAATAAATATTGGGACGCATGGCGTAATGCAGATGAACTTGTATTGTTTGAAAAGAAAAGAAAAGATAGCACTGTAGGACAAAAAGCGTTTTCTGTCAGAAACAAATGCATTAAAAACAGACATTTAGTATATAAATGATATGTTAAAGATCTTAACTATATTCTAAGATTATTTCACTATTTGAGCTATTTATTCAGAAACTGTTTTTTTTATGATTCATATGAATTTATTACGCTCAGATTTTGTCCTGTTTGCATCACCTTGATGGCGGTGCTGCTGGTGGGTCAGAACGTGTTACCCTTTTTCGAGCACCTGCTGTTATATCTGGTTCTCGGTGATTCGTTCTTATACTTGTCACTGCAGATTTATCTTCCGCATGAGGTTAAGTTTGTGTCGGCGGGCGGCCGGGACTACTTTGTTCTCTCGCGATGGCGTTCTTAGATCCTGTTTTCCCACTGCAGGGTGACCTACATATTTTGTTCACTGATTTTCAGTGTCCTTTTATATGGCCATGTTCAATGTGGTGATTGTATGTGTCCTGACAACTGACTGCTCCCTATGTAATGACAACTGACTGTTCCATGTGTACTGACAACTGACTGTTCCCTGTCTACTGACAACTGACTGTTCCCTGTCTACTGACAACTGACAGTCCCCTGTGTACTGACAACCGACTGTTTCCTGTGTAGTGACAACCGACTGTTCACTGTGTAATGACAACTGACAGCCCCCTGTGTCAGGACAACTGACTATTCCCTGTGTACTGACAACCGACTGTTCCCTGTGTACTGACAACCGACTGTTCACTGTGTACTGACAACTGACTGTTCCCTATGTACTGACAACTGACAGACCCCTGTGTACTGACAAGTGACTGTTCCCTGTGTACTGACAACCGACTGTTCACTGTGTACTGACAACTGACTGTTCCTGTGTCCTGACAACTGACTGTTCCCTGTGTACTGACAACCGACTGTTCACTGTGTACTGACAACTGACTGTTCCTGTGTCCTGACAACTGACTGTTCCCTGTGTACTGACAACTGACTGTTCCCTGTGTACTGACAACTGACTGTTCCCTGTGTACTGACAACTGACTGTTCCTGTGTCCTGACAACTGACTGTTCCCTGTGTACTCACAAATGACTGTTCCCTGTCTACTGACAACTGACTGTTCCCTGTGTCCTGACAACTACTGACTATTCCCTGTGTCCTGGCAACTGACTGTTCCCTGTGTACTGACAACTGACTGTTCCCTGTGTCCTGACAACTGACTGTTCCCTGTCTACTGACAACTGACTGTTCCCTGTCTACTGACAACTGACTGTTCCCTGTCTACTGGCAACCGAATTTTCCCTGTCTACTGACAACTGACTGTTCCCTGTCTACTGGCAACCGACTGTTCCCTGTCTACTGACAACTGACTGTTAACTGTGTACTGGCAACCGACTGTTCCCTCTGTACTGACAACTGACTGTTCCCTGTGTACTGACAACTGACTGTTCCCTGTCTACTGGCAACCGACTTTTCCCTGTCTACTGACAACTGACTGTTCCCTGTCTACTGGCAACCGACTGTTCCCTGTCTACTGACAACTGACTGTTCCCTGTGTACTGACAACCGACTGTTCCCTGTCTACTGACCACTGACTGTTCCCTGTCTTCTGACAACTGACTGTTCCCTGTCTACTGACAACCGACTGTTCCCTCTCTTATGACAACTCATTGTTCCCTGTGTACTAAGAACTGACTGTTCCCTGTGTACTGACAACTGACTGTTCCCTGTCTACTGACAACTGACTGTTTCCTGTGTACTGACAACTAACTGTTCCCCGTGTACTGACAACTGACTGTTCCCTGTGTACTGACAACTAACTGTTCCCTGTGTACTGACAACTGACTGTTCCCCGTGTACTGACAACTGATTGTTCCCTGTGTACTGAAAACTGACTGTTCCCTGTGTCCTGACAACTGACTGTTCCCTGCCTACTGACAACTGACTGTTCCCTGTCTACTGGCAACTGACTGTTCCCTGTCTACTGACAACTGACTGTTCCCTGTGTACTGACAACTGACTGTTCCCTGTCTACTGACAACTGACTGTTCCCTGTCTACTGACAGTAGAGTATATTGTGGATGTAGATAACCACACCCACAGCTCTGACGTCATACTGACGTCATCTGACCTTTCCTTGACCTATATTGAATAGGTATTGAATAGGTATTATCCTTACGTCAATAGTGGGTTGAATAGGTATTGTCTTTATGTCAACAGTGAGTTGAATAGCTATTTTATCCCATACTGACATCATCTGACCTGTATTGAAATAGGTATTGTCTCTATATCAACAGTGAGTTGAATAGCTTATTGTACCCACCGCACCTGCGTCAATAATGTATTGAGACCGAATTGAATAGCTATTGTACGACGACCCCATGTTGTACCTATCGCACCTGCGACAATAATGTATTGAGACCGAAATGAATAGCTATTGTACGACGACCCCATCTTGTACCTATCGCATTGGGACAATAATGTATTGAGACCGAAATGAATAGCTATTGAACGACGACCCAACCTTGTACCGAGAGTGTGATGAATGAACATTATATCTCATCCACACCTGTATCATTGAGACCAAATTGAATACCTATTGTACGACAACCCCCACCTTGCATCGATACAGTTTAGTTGAATGGGTAAGGTAGCCACCCTTCCCACCTGGTGGTATTGTTACTGATTTAAATAGATCACACCTACACATCAATAATGTATTGAGACTGTAAAGTGTATATTGAATAGACATTGTAATGGTTCCCACGTTGTACCCGACAGTGTGTTGAATGAATATTCTATTCCATCGCACCTGTGTCAATAATCTCTTGCGACCTGAATGGAATAGCTATTGTACAACGACCCTACCTTGCACCAACAGTGATTCGAATAGTTATTATAGCCCATCCCACATGTGTCAATAAGGTATTGATATTGATTTGAATAGATCACACCTGTGTCAATAATGTATTGAGACCCATTGGTATTTGTATCATGGTGACGCCTCACCGACCACTCCTCGTCTTTCATCAACAATGGGATTGAATAACTGGTCCCCGTCTTGTATCAACAGTGAGTTGAATAGACATTTGTCTTTGATATTTTGAAAAAGCTACCCCAAAATGGTATAAAATGGAGGGTTTCAGCAAAATCTTAACACTACTACTTCTCCTACTACTACCTCCACTACTACGACTACTACCACTACCCATCAACTTTGCTGAAGTCTCAGAAACATTCTTCCGAAGAAGTAAATGATAACATCGTGGAAAACAAAATTTTCAAACACAAAGTGACCAGTCTTTCCCGACATGACCTGATGAAGAATGTTGATGAGGATGGACAATCTTCCAGCTGTCGAGTGAGTGACCTACCCATAAATCTTCTGTTGGATATCGTCTCACACGAAACTTTGAGTGTCAAGGACGAAGAACTATTGAAAGTTGTGCTGTCTCCTACACTAAAAAAAGAAGGCAGCAAAGACTTTGATTTCCTCCTCAACATCCAATACTCCGAGGCTCTTGCGGCGTCAACACACATGACCAAAAGTTTACTCAATCCCCTTGTTTGATGTATAAAAGTAGAGGTTTGCTGAACCCCCATGTGTGATGTATTAAAGTAGAAGTTTGCTCAACTTCAATATGTAGTGTATGAAACTATAAGTTTCCTCAGGCCCCATGTGTGATATATTAAACTATAAGTTTGCTGAACCCCCATGTGTGATGTATTAAAGTAGAAGTTTGCTCAACTTCAATATGTAGTGTATGAAACTATAAGTTTCCTCAGGCCCCATGTGTGATATATTAAACTATAAGTTTGCTCAACCCCCATGTGTGATGTATTTAAGTAAAAGTTTGCTCAAGAAGGCAGCAAAGACTTTGATATCCTCCTCAACATCCAATACTCCGAGGCTCTTGCGGAGTCAACACACATGATCTTCGAAGGACAAGGTCAATCTAAAAATCTGACATTCAATAAAATAAAGTTCTTCAACTGCACCGAAGACAGCTTCAATGAAGAAGACAAGGAGGACGAGAAGAACGCATAACCGATGATGCAGAGTCTTAGGTGACTAGTACGAATCACATTGATTTTTCACTGATATGTATATCTCTTTTTTTCACCACAACCATGTGTGTGATGCAAGTGTAATGCATATATTTTGTTATGTTTTGTAAGCATTTTCGTTTAACATAAATATGACTAAACAATGACAAATATGTTAGAATATTTATCTTGTGTGAAAATCAGTTTTTCCTTGGTACAATTGCACATCAGATAATAAAATGTTAGAATAAAATTAATGTAATTTGCTAAGTTTAAACGAATCACTAATTATTTAACGACTTTGTTAGTGTAGAAAGAAAGTGTGTATTAACGATGTCATATGCAGCGAATTCTAAGCATTATTTTTCTAATACAGACTATAATCAAATCCTTGCGCGAGGTTTAACGCTCCCCGCCTCCTTTTAACATTAGAGCCCCTCGCTGAAAAAGTTATAGTCTGTTTCTACAAAGTGAATGCATTTTTTGTAAACTTACGTTATATTTATATCATATTCCAGGGACAAGTCTACGTGCACGCCTCATTGAAAAGTACAATGGGAAAACGATGAAGTGTACTTACTTAAGTCTTTATTAAAGTGAGATAAAGTAATGTTTTGTTGTGTTATTGCTATTTTCACAGCGGGAAGATGGTTAGGTTAGGTTAACCCACTCCCCAGGCAGCATTACACAATTGGGCTGAGCGTTACCAGTATCGCCAGTGCCGGTGTCACGAAATATATTCGCCCCCAGAATAAAATCTCTCCCCGGCGAATTTATACCGGTACAGTTCCGCCCCTCTCGAAATAAAC